CTACACAGAGAAACCCTGTCTCGGAAAAAAAAAAACAAAAAAACAAAATTGTAACTTTGGCTTTCAGTGGTAGTTTATATGTGAATCAATAAATTATGTAAATATCAAAAATAAAGATCTTGAAATTTGGAGGGGGTATGCTAATTCCTTATAAACATTTCTTTAAAAAAACATGAATGAGGCCAGGCGGTGGTGGTGGTGGTGGTGGTGCACGCCTTTATCCCAGCACTCAGGAGGCAGAGCCAGGCAGATCTTTGTGAGTTTGAGGCCAGCCTGGTCTACAGAGCCATATCCAGGACAGGCACCAAAACTACACAGAGAAACCCTGTCTCAAAACAAACAAACAAACAAACAAACAAATGTGAATAATATAAAACAACACTGTAGAAGGGTACTTTAAACAGGAAAAATCTCCTTCAAAAAGAAAAAGGTTGCATTAAGTTCCATCTCCAGAATGCTAACTCAGCCTCAGCCTTCCCTGGGTCATCAGAACATACCTCCCTGGTAGAAATGAAAGCATTATTCTTGTTATTTGCAGTATTGCTAACCTGGAAAAAAATAAGGAATTAAGAAACTCCATTTTCTAAGGCAGACACTTATATGAAAAGTTAAAAGCAATTTAAAATAGAAATATCTTTAGTAATTGAAAGTTGACAGAATTTTAAAAATATTTTTATGTTTTTGCATATTTTGCCTGCAGAGCCATAAGAGCATTGGATCCCTGGATCCTGGAGCTAAGGACGATTATGAGTAGCCCTGTGGGCACTGGGAACTGAACCCTGGTCCTCTGGAAGAGCAGCCAGTGCTCTATAAACTGCTGAGCCATCTCTCCAGCCCCTGACAGATTTACGTCAGAATAACTTTATATTAGAGTCAGCTAATCATTTATTTTGTAACTTGTTATAATTTCTCCTTCATCCCAGGCTCCTGAAGAACTAGGAGAATGTAAGGTAAGAAGAAAACCAACAGAACTGAAAAGAGCATCAGGCTTAGGCCTGTACCTTCCCACACAGGAGGAGGCTCCAACCCAGAGGGTGGCGCTTCTTTACATTTTCTCAGCTCTTAACCTATTTATCATGAAGGACTTTTCCTCCAAACAGTTCAGAACACAAAACATGTCTGAAATAATACCGGAGTATTGACCATGTTTTACATTTATCTTCTTAAAGCTCCAAAATTAGACCTTAATAACCCAAGAGCTTGTCTGTGTAAATGCCTTCATTCACTTTGTCATATTAGCAATATAGAATAGAAGTCTTTATATAAAACATCAGTGGACCACACCAAAAAGTATTTGCTTCAATTAAATCAGTACTGAAAGCTAATTCCAATTGGATTTTTATTATAGTTACAATTTTTTTTCCACAAAAATATTTGAGGGGAAAATATCACTTCAGAGTTAACTCTACAGTGAAGGAAATTTACTAACAAAACTTGAGTTTTGTAAATACAGTGACAGCTAATTCTTTAGAGCTAATTTTTATGGCTCCAAGGAAGAAACACATGGCTTGCTGGGTCATTTCACACAGATACTGCATCTGTATAGACATTATGCATACGTGACTGTTTCTTGACATCATTCATACATGTCTAACTTCTGATTTCTAAAACAATACAATACAGAAGTGTACTCCGTCCCATCCAACCAAATGCCAGCAGCGGTTCAGTGGGATATGCATATCTTGCCATTTCTGTGCATTTATTTTTCATGCTTATGAGACAGTTTGATACAAATTCCTTCGGGCTTAAGATCACCATGTTTGTCCCCTTCAGAATTGTGCTTTAAGTGGTAATAACCATAGGTAGTTTGCAGAGAACGGATAAGGCAACCAAGACGGGGGAATTCTAGGCTCAAAGGCCTGTCATCAAAGGTAACAGTGCCAAAGAGAAAACAGGGAGGAAGAGGGGCATTTTGAGAACCTTAGTAAATCAAGGACTGGCACATTGATTTCCTCCCAGATCTGCTTCTGCAGTCCCCACTGGAAGGCCGCGTGCCGACAGCAGTCCCTCTGCCCTTGCACTGATGTTGCACGTGTCCCTGTCCAGTGGCTAATGAGTCATCCGCCTTCTGTTTATGAGTCCCCCACTTCTCAGCCATCTCCTCCTTAATGAGAGGCTTCAAATGAGGATCAGCTGTTAATATAATGTTACTATAAAGGCATGAAAGAAGGCTGATTCCTTATCAGAGATGTCTTGTTAAGTCCTAACTGGATCCTGATAACTCTCCAGTGTAGTATGAAGCTTGTTCAACTCTCTTTGTTACACATGGTTTATTCACTTACTACACAAGCCTTGTGGTCCCTTGTTCATGGGCTGACATACAGTTCTCATATATTTCAAAGATAGGTCTCTTAGAAGATATTATATATGTCACGAAAGCCTGACTCAGGGTGAGGGCACAGTGCTTGCTTCATGATAAAACTGTTCATCATAGTTGCTGAAAGGGGATGGCAGCCGGAAGCAGACCTCTAGCTAGATGTGTACCTGGCAGACACCCTTGCTCCTCCCTTGGGGAATCAACATGGGACAAAGAAGAAGCCTGAAGTTGAAATATATAACCCAAACCCACTTGCCATTATCCTTGTATCGACTATGTTTTCGTGTTCTGACCAACATACGTATTATTTTATCTACTTAATCATATATTTTAAATAACAAGAAACCTTGCAACAGGTGTCCTTATATGAGGAACCAAATGAGTGAAAAACTCATGACCTAGGCTTCTGCCTGAATCATTAGTACAGGCGTTGGAAACTGTGCTGCATCATGAACTAGAGACTGTACTTATGGAAAGTACTCTGGCACTGGGACTTATGCGCAGGTTGTCGTAGGAACAAGAGTAGTTGCTTGTATCTGCAAGCTGCTGGATTACAAGTGTAGTGGAGTATTGTGATTCCCAGGGCTCAGTGAAATTAGCAGAATGATCAGGTGTCTGAAAGATGGCCTGTTGCTCCTTTTAACAGCCTCTTTGTTCCTAAAACTTGCAGGATTCACACTATTTGGCTTGGATTTCAACGTATTACTGTTAAAACTAGAGACAGTGTTTCTTGCTATTGACAGAGTCAAGTACCTATTTATCTCATTAATGATACTAAAAGCCTTTCTCCAATGGTTTTGGACTTCAAGGATGCTGATAAACTATATCACTGAAGGGCTGATGTAGATGGGTCTATTTCCTTTCTTGTTAAACTCGGTGGTAATTGTAGACACTCAGCTCCACGTTTCTACTGACTTTATCCTAAGTCTTCTATTACTATTGAGCTTTATACAGTTGAGTTCTTTAAAAAATAAAGTATGTACTCTGATAGTTTTTAAAATACTTAATTTGTAACATTTCTATAACATATGGCTAAGAGTGCCCTGTGACTGCTAAATTCCACACAGGTGCTCCCTTCGGGAGAGTGTTCTGTTCTGCTCTGTAGTGCAGGAGAATCACACACCCATGTCTGCTCCTCCACCAGCGCTTCAGGGAGGCTTTACCCTCATTTAGTCATGACACGGCTTGAGTTGTCACCACGCAGACTAGGCTTCTGTCATAAAAGGTACCGGAGAGCTTCTTATTTCAATGACATAAGCTAATGTCATGACTTCTATAAACTATCATTTAAAGATGGCTGTAATGTGCAAAGTTTAAATCATCCAGTAACAGCTGTGCCCCTGAGGCCCAGGGTGGTAGTTATATTTCACCTACAAATTAAACTTCCTAGTAAGAGCAACATTCAAGGCAGCCCTCTTCACTGGTGGTTCTCTGATTGTAGGTTACAAGTGTCAGGAAGTGGGCAGTCCCTGACACAAATGGTTTTGACAAACAGGCTGTGGGTCACTATGGCTAGAGTTCCGTTCCTTGTCAAGGCATTTTAAGGAAACCCCTTTTCATGTTCTGGGCTTATTTTTGGTATAGATTAACAGAAATAGTCATTTTAAAGTCAATCCCTTAAAATAACCATTTGGAACTTGGGCACTTTTTATTCAGCCTTTTCTTTGGTGATGCCGTTACTGCCTCAGGAAGAGCATGCTATGGCAGACAGCGGGTGCTGGGTGCCACAAGACCTCTGTCCATCCTGTGTCCCAAATGTGTGATCAAGCAGATATACATTGATGTTAACTAGAACTGCTTAAAATTCTATTTCATCATAAGCATCCCTACACTAATATTATCACAGACATGGTTTTACATCCAGTTGCGGTTTCAAAACTCATTTCATGTATTTAAACTAGCACCGACTACATCCGGAGCACAGCGAAACGTCATCACCCAATAGCGGTGTCAGAGCTCTCGCTCTCGATATATGGAATGTTGTAGTACTTGATGTTCTCACATGCCCACTGCTGCAAGGCATCCTGCACGATTTCCTTGGCCAGACGCTCTGCGAATTCAAGGACCATAGGACTGGGCTCTGGGAATTTCTTCACTTCGGCTTGAGTTTTCCCTGGAGAAGGGGTCCTTTGTTGACAGCTTCCATCTGTCATAAAGGCTTCTTCACTCTCATTAAGCCTGTCAATGTCTAATGTGGTAGGGAATGGGAACGTTTGCTTTGACTTCATGCAACCCATGATGTAGAACTTTGGTGGACTGAAGGCAAGCTGTGTTAATTAAGACAACTTCAACAGCATCTTTGGAAAACAATGCAGGATTGTTCACAGGATGTTGACCAGGCTTCCTCTCCGGCCACTTTGGCAACCACAGGTCCCTTTCAGTACTCTTCACGTCTTGTGTTTACCTGTCAAGAGAAGGGAGGTTTCACTGTGAGGTTCTATATGATGTGATATGGAAGCCTTTGGTTCCTTGAAAGAAAGGTGGGGTTCTCAACAAACAACCTTATCAGCCAAATCTGGAGAAAGCACTCAGTGGGAATGACAACACTCATCAAACGTTTTTTTGATCTCTTGAAAATTTTGTAAAAGTAAATGAAGTAAAACTTTACACTAACAAGTGATCATTCTTGGACTGAATTCCAACCACTTTTTTTTTTTTTATCCTTTCGCAGTTTCATACATGTATAATGTACTTTGATCATATTCTTTGTTACTCTTATTCCTTGCTCATACCATCAAACCACCAGATCCCTCCCAAGTCACCCTTTTTTCCTGTTTTCTGTTGCTGTTTCTGTCTTCTTCCCTCTCTCGCTCTGCTGTCCTCCATGGGTGGGTGGGTGGGTGTCCCATAGCATTTCATTAGGCAATTTTAAAGTCAATCCTTTAAATAACCATTTGAAATTTGCACACTTTTATTCACCATTTTATTTGGTGATGCCGTCTTTGAGCAGCAAATGTACTCATGTGTGAATGAGCATTCACATCGTGAGCACTGCTGTCTAGGAACTTAGTGCTTAACACAAATGGAAATGGCAAGGCTCCCCTGGTTGGAGTATGGATAAATGATAGCAGTGTGCACAGAAAGGATCCCACCTGGTCCCAGCTTTTCTGTACGTGTGTCTGCCATTTCTTCATTCCCCACTGCCACACACCCAAAGCTGTGCAGGCTGTGACAGCCACTACTGTGTCCAAAAGGTTAAAAAACAGAAACAAAACAAAAGCATGTTTCTATTAAAAAAAAAAAAAAAGTCTACCAGGACACAGCTAGTTTGTTTATGTGTTGTGTATGGTTGGTTTTTGCTAACAGTGATAAGACTGGATAGTTAAGATAGATGGTGCCCACAAAGTCTAAAATGATTACTCTTTGGTCCCTGGCAGGAAGTGTTTGCTAATTTCTGAACCTTACTATTAGAAAAAATAAAGCAAAGTGTGCTCCTGCCATCAACCCCATGAGCCCACACATCCAAGACTGCTGTTCAAATCAGACTTGGTTCCCTGGCCAGATGTTTACAATTTAACGGTGAGAAGAGAATGATGGTCTTCATATCTGTGTGTGCTCTGGTCAACACAGACATGCAGGAGCCACCTTTTTTTTCTTCTGAATGAAATACTCCCTATGAAGATATTTTAAAGGTTTCTTATACCAGATTATCCTCACCCTACTCTTACTGGTGTTTAAACATGAAGTAGACTGTATTCTGTGGCATGTCTCTGCATCTTAAGTAGATGTTGTCGTTGAATGAATTGTCTTAAGATGGGACTGTAGGGTTTATATAAATGACTATGTTAGATGCAGCCACACGAGAGCACAAATGAAGTCTACAATTCCAGTCCACAGTATCTGATTAGACTTTATAAGGAACTCTAAAAGTCATAAAATGAGGTTAATCTTTCTGAGACCACTGATCCCTAGAAAGTAAAAGCTACTATATGTCTGCTCACTTTTAATATTGTATTTAATATTGTATTTAATGTTTGTATTCAAAGAAGTCTAGAAGAGCTAACCTTTGCTGAAGTTACTGCTATATATTTTTCTTTAAATATATGATTTTTCTCTTACTGCTACTCTCAATCCCTACCACTAAGTAAGGATGACAAGGGGGACAAAAAGGAATTTCAGGCTTCTGTTTTTAAATTTACTTTTATTTTGTATGCTCTGCTTCATGTTCCAAATTTTAGAGAGGTATTTCAAAGGGGGGATATAGAATATGTTGAGTGTCTGTCTTGTTTGCTCTGCTGAGCTCACTGAAATTGGGTCTACCTTGGTTACACATCTCTAACATAGAGCATGTCGTTACTTGCCACAGAATCTATTTTGGACTGAGAGGTGATATGGTCACTGGACTAATTAACATGGAGATGATTAGGGCAGGCACTTTGTCATAAATAAAGGGCAGATGTGGGTTTATCCAGTGGCCCCACCCTCTAGCTACTCTCCACCTCATGCTCTGGCCTTGCCTGGTAAGTCTGCTTTCTTACCTCTGCCTCATGCACTCAACACCACTCCCCAGAGGAGAGCTGGGCCCATACCCAGTGCTCTCACCCTTCTGAGGAGCCCTACCTGCACTCTCCCAAGCTCCAGGTTTGGGCCAGGATGCACCTGCCCAGCAACCTCTATCTGCCAGACCTTATCCTATCACCCCGCTCTAAAGCTACCTTCCAGGTCTAGCCTGGCCAGCACACCCTGGACTAGTCTAGCCTGGTGAGTCCACAGACCACCTGCATTCACTTCAATCTGCAGATGGAGCCCAGTCCCACATCTAGTGCTCTCGCCCAGTCTGAGGAGCCTTTCCCACATCTTTCCAACCTCCAGGCCAGGGGAAAGAACACACATCCTGTGTGCATCCCAGTCTGCTGTATCCACATCAAGCATATGACCAACAAGGGAGATATCTACATGCATAGTCCTTAACAGAAAAACAAAATATGAAAGGACAAAACTGTCTCCTCTAAAATCAGTCATTTAGAAATGCTCTCTGGTAAGAATCACCTTGCTGAACCCCAGGGCACAGATCTTAAAAGAACAAGAATAGACTTCATCAAAGAGTTCAAGGAGCTTAAAGAAGACAAAAACAGCTCAATGAACTGAAAAAAACATAAAGAGAAAAATTGTGTTGAGTGATACCCAAAAAACCACAAAGATAAAGCTGAAATGACAAAGGCAATCTAGGATTTGAAAAGGAAATTCAGTAAAGACAAGCATTGAAGAGACTCAAACTGAAATGAAGACAGAATTGGAAAATGCCGATCCCAATTAGAAAACTCAGAGGAAGGCCATTCAAGTAGAGTGGTTTAAGTAGAAAGAAGATAGAATATCAGGTATTGAAGACAAATGAATTAGACCACACAGGCAAAGAATATGAAAAAAATTAAACACAGTATATCAGGTATTGAAGACAAGTGAATTAGACCACACAGGCAAAGAATATGAAAAAAATTAAACACAGGAAAAGAACTGCAGAACTGTGGCATACAATGATAAGACCACATCTAATTAAAGGCATAGATGAGAAAGAAGAATCCCAAGTCAATGGCATAGACCAGACCTTAAGCAAGAATATAAAAAGACTTCCTTAAACTAAGGAAAGACATACCCTTACAGATACAAGGAGCATACAGAACACCAAAGAGACAAGATCAGAAAAGAAACTACTCCTGAGAAACCACACTTAAACCACTAAATGTGCATACAGAAGAAGGAGTATTGAACACTACAAGAGAAAAGGCACACGTACAAAGGCACACCCACCAGAACAACAGCTGGTTTCTCACTGGAAACTTTGTAAGCCAGAGGAGCCTGAAGGAATGCATTCTAAAGCTCTAAAAGGCCAGGATGGCGGCTTTAACCACTGTACCTAGGAAAACTAGTTAACAAAATGGTAGGAGAAAAAAATTTTCACGATACAAACAGCCTAGAAACTTCATGTCAACCAAAATGATCCTATAGAATACTGGAAGCAGTACTTCAGACTGAAAAGAGGCCAAGACTCTAAAAAGACAACAAATGAAGCTATAAATAATGAAATACAAAGCATGGCTAAGAAACAGCAAAAACCAAAACAAAATCACTGCAGTTTACACACCTTTGAATAACTTTAAAAATTAATGGACTCAACTTTCCAATAAAAAAAAGACATAGACTAGGTGAGTGGATTAAGGAACAAAACCTATCTTTCTGTTATCTACAGGAAGCTTCATTTTAGGCACCACTTTAAATTGAAAGGATGGAAAAAAGTATTCCAAGCAAATGGGACCGAAAGAAAGCAGGAGTTGCCATCTACATATCTGACAGTATTAAACTTCAAACTAAAGATAAATACAAGAGACAAAGAAGGGTCCTTCATTCCTAATCAAGGCAACAATTCACCAAGATAATATTGCAATACTAAACATACATGTCCCAAACTCTGGTGCACCCAATTTCATAAAAAGCGTACTACTGAAATCAAAGATAGACTAATACCAACCCAATAGTAGTACATAATTTCATTAATTCACTTTCCCCAATAGATATCTCACCTGGACAAAAACTAGAGGAAATCTCAGATATTTTACGTCAAATGGACCTAATAGATATCTACAGAATATTCCACCCAAACATCAAACAATATTCAGTAGTCCATGGAAGCTTCTCTAAAATAGATCGCATCCTAGGATGCAAAACATAAAAAAATTGAGATAATTCCATGTGTCCTTTTTGACCATTATGCAATAGAACTTAAAACTGATTGCAATCAAATTTCTCATGGAGATTAAGCAACTCATTAGTGGACAATGAACTGGCAAAAAAAAAAAATCAAGATAAAAATTTAAAAGTTATGGGACTGAATGAAAATGAAAACACAAGAATACCTCTGGGATACATGAAAAAAAAAAACAGTTCTTCAAGGATCATTTATGGCTTACTGTGCCTACATTCAAAACAATACCAGAAGGGGCACAAATAAATGATTTAATGATGCAGCTCAATAATTTAGAAGAACAAAAGACAAACACAAATCCAGTAGACAGCAAGAAGCAAAAACCAAAGCAGAAATTAATGAAACAAAAACATCAATATAAAGAATGAGTCTAAGAGATGGTTCTTTGAAACGATAAACAAGATTGACCTACTCTTGGCTCAACTGACCACAAGGAAGAAAAAGAGGCCCCAAACTAATGGAAATAAACAAGAAAACATTTACAACAGACACTAAAAAAATTCAGAATATTATAAGGGAATACTTTTAAAATCTGCACTCCATCAAGTTGGAAAATCTAAAAGAAACAACCCAAACATAACAAATGAATAGACTGAAAGAGTAATAATAAGCCTCTGATCAAAAGAAAAAAGAAAAAAATAAGGCCCAGGCCAAATGAATTAAAAGCAGATATCTATCCAACTTCAACTTTCAAATATCTATAG